ATAATGAAGTTGGATCGATCTATGCATGAACCTATTAAATAATGAGTGATGTTAGTCTGTATCACTGGTGTTAAGTATTGGTCTAGATGACAATTTTATGACATTAAATGATATGTTCACTTAAATGCAATGTCACGTAATTCGTTTAATTGAATAGATCAAGTATGGTCATCTAGACTGGTGTTCTAGTACTATTGATATTAAATAATATTATTTTTATATAATGGGATTGTATGTGTGAAAAATCTCAGTAGTAAATGTATTTTAAACAACTTAGATTTTTTTTTTTTTTTTTTTTAAAGGGGTATTATATTACCACCACATTATAATCACACCACAATTAAAAAATATTTATTAAATGCACTACAACAAATTCACAATTATAATTCTAACCCTATAAAACAAAAATGAAGGAAAAAAATACAATATTATTTCTCATTTTTCTCATCTTTTCCCATCCACCTTGAACAACTCTATGGGCAACAAAATCGTATCAATTTAGTAAACTACCAATGGATCTTCATCAATCGATGTCCCTTCAAAAGTCATAGTCACAACTTTAGTCTATCATTTTCACGTATTCTCCATCGTTTTAAAATGTAACAACATACTTATTGGCTCTCTCAATAACTAGTGTTCATCAATATCTCAACATACCTAGAGATTCATAAACAAAAACCCCATAATACAAAAGCAATGAAATTTTGTCATCTGAAGTCAAATTCTTGTGTGTTGATATGAAATTGTTTATAGATTCATATGTAGGGCAAAAACTTTTAACCCACCTTCAACTCTTTCGTTGAAAAAGTGTAAGAGGCACCAAAGCTTGTTAACAGATCGAAAAATTCCTTGCGGCCCTGTTTCACTATTAATGTAGTGGCCCGTTCAAATATTTGGGTCCGCCGACTGAAGCTCGGTTTTCGATGAAAGCAGCACATGGCTAATTTGGATTATAGTAATAACATAAGGGATTTCAAAAGGACTATTTATGAAATTAAGAAAATTATAAATTCCCAAGTACATGTGTTTTTTTTACAGAGGACTTACAGGTCCCTCACAAAGGGACGGGTCCCACATGTATTAAAATAATAATAATAACGAAGGCTCCACCATGTGTGTTGTCTGGCAGGGACCTGTGAAAAAAGTCCATGTACTTACAGCATAACCCTTAAGAAAAATACTTACAATTGTGGCGCACCTAACAAAATTCATAGTGGTAATATAATTACACATCT